ATCATTAGAGACAAGGGTAGTTCAAAGTTTCATGTGAAAGCTGAAATTTACTGTTTGGTGCTGGCTCTTGGCATCTTGGGATAAACTGAAAAGAATTCAAAGCACAACAATAAACTGAGAGGGAATGATTACATACAGGAAGATGGGGAGAGCTAACTACAGTATGTGGTGTGATGCAGCATCACTGGTGATGGCATGAATGCGAGTGTATCATGCCTTGAGGAAGACAAATTAGAGTTAGAGTTACTCAGCACAAATAAGGAAGTGAATATTTAAATATCGGGAAAAGCTTAGCTTTGTAAGGAAAAGCGATCAAAGGTATTTTGTGGAGCATGTAACAAATACCAGGCAAGCCAGTGGAAGTAGTCATCATTTTTCTTTCTAATGACGAAGCTGTCTTTGATATCCAAGCCAAGAGCTGATACATATCACCTTCTCCAGAGTTAGTAGCAATCCTGCCTGTGGCCAGCAATCCCGCCTGTGGCCAGCAATCCCAGGTAAGGTGTGTGCCTACACTGAATATGTAAACTAAACTGAATTTCAGCAGAAAGAAAAAAAATCAACTTGAAAGTGCCAAGCTCTCAAATACCACTGAAGGAACGTATTCCCCAACTCCATGCTCTGCTTCCCAGCAATAGCTTACTCATTCTATAAACCTGTTGAGAAATCAAAATCATAGATGACTTTTACAAGGCAATCTCCAAAGACTAAATCAATTTATTTTATGAATAAGAAGGTATGCTTAACAAAGAGCATGAATTGCAGATTTGAGTTCAGTTGGAGAGTTCAAACACCAAAGAACAGCCTACATGGGCAATTCAGCTCCGCTCTCTCCTTTCTCTATCCTGCAAGCAGTTTGAGACCAGTCACGCTACAACACTGCAGCGAGGATCTGGCTTTGATGCTGTTCGCACCAGAATGCCTTATGCTCAGCCAAGACTACAGGCAGCAGCAGCAAAACAGACCGAGGAGCAACAGGGAAGGCAGAGGGTGACACCTTTATCACCCCAACTGCTTACTACAATAAGTAGTACTGAAACAACAGTTATACACCCAAGCAATAAGTCCATCCCCAGCCTCCACAAACTTCGCTGAACAATGCTAACATTAGATAGAGACAATAGGCAAAGGATGAAATCAAGGAATTTTTAAAAATCATGTTACACACTTTGACTGTAGGTTCAGCTGAGACCAAATTACAGACCTGCACGATTTAAGTCACCCAGCTCGGGATTTTAAGGATTAATAATCTGAAGTCTGCAGATGTATTATATATTTGCCCAAGAGAAAAAGTGCTGTCACCCTTTGTATGACAATTGATAATTCTGCTTCCAAAGTTCCCTACTCCCTTCAGGTTTTAAACCAATTTAGTGGGTAAAGCATAGACAAGAGCAATCACAGGACACATTTATTACAACCTCCTAATGCATTTTCATAGGCTAGACCTGTGTGCATGTATATCTGATACAAAGCTGGCATGCTTCACTTGAACTTAAACAAAAGTAACACATTGAGAAATCACTATCTGGTGGCCATTGCATTAGCGCAGAGAAAAACTCAAATCTCAGTTCTCTAAACTCAGAGATTTCAGAGGCAGCACTGGAAACCCTGCATATAGAAAGTACAGTGTGACTGCAGAATCAACACCGGAAGAAAAACCTTATCTCCAAGTGGCAACCAGGTAATACTGATTTAATTTATCCTAATCTATATAAAGCAAACAAGTGCATTTATTACAAACAAGATAACTTCTTTAAGCAGTAAGGTAAACTAATCTGTCTTTCAGTTGCTGGCAATCATGCTGTGCTTTCTTTGCCCTTTGCCCACGGAAAACCAAACTTGTTTCCTACTTCTGAAATGTTCTTGCTGTCAAAAACCATGTAACTTGCAAAACAGATCTAGCTCCCGGTCCAAGAGCTAGGGGGAAACAGGTTGATGTGGACTTGACCTCTCATGATGGTGATGACATAAGACATTACAAAACCAAAATTCCCAGAAAAGACTCAATTACCAACAGACTATCAGCTCCTCTCTCACAGCAACAAGGAAAAGCAGTTCTTTTCTACAGTTTTAAGCTTGTTCTTTGGTGAATGTCCTATCTCTTCTCTGACTCTGAAGTGTGTTCCTCATTCTGAGGAGAAAAGTACCTGCTGTTCATGTTTACATCAGCATTGTGTTAGTAGCACAGGCACACAGTGATATACAGATGCCACACACTTTCTTTGCTTTTTGTGTGCATCATTCACACTATGCAGCACCAGATTAGTCAACCTTGAGCAACAGGAAAAGCATATTGGGGGCAGAATACTGGCAGAAATACTGTTCTGGATGACCTGTTGAATCTTCTTACTTCCTTTAATCCCCGAAAGGAGGCTTTCCTGTCTACAGCTCTCTGCTATTGCTACAATAAACACCACATTCCAGAATGACGGGGGTTTTTTTTAATCTCTGAATAAGTTTATAATACAATGGCTTCAGGGCAGGAAGTCTTCATTTTACGCCAAAAGAAAGCACATGTAGGCACAGTTCACTTGCAGAACAGCAAATTTATTGTTCTCAAACATACCATAGACCTTCTACAACCTCAGGAAAGGTATGGAGAGACCTTGACCACCACACTTGCTAGCAGAGTCAAGTTTTGACGAGAAGTCAGAAAGATGCCTCAATTCTCCACCACAGATTTTTCTCTCTGTTGAGAACGAAACCTCTTCTAGTTTTAGGACAGTGCAAATCTCACATATCCAAGGACAAGAGCTTCCCTCTGTATGCATTCACCTACGGCTGAGGTTTGCAAAGTGTTACCCTTCTTCATGAAGGGTCATTCGGTTGGAAGCGCTTATCACTGTGGCTAGCAAAAACAAATTTAATTTTGATGGAAACTTAATATTTCTTAAGTCTTCATTTTACCATCAAAACAGAAGACAAATCCAGCTGAGCCAACCACACGAACACTCGGGCACTAATATTAAAACGTCAAATGCCAGTCAGTTACTGCAACATGCACTGCTTCCCACAGACACACATTCTCCAAATCTCATGGCAAGAAAGCAATTGCAAGGCTTACAAATACACCCCAGCATCTCAGCAATGCAAAGAAAAACACATAAAACTTGAGATCAACTGAACCACAGACATTTTTAGTATGTCTAGTATAGTATAGACTAGTATCACTGCCAGCGTTTTGCAATTGAAATGAAAAAGCCAAGCATGGCTGCTCCTACTGCCACAGACTTCATAAATCAAGAGCATTCACAAATAATTAACAACAACAACAAAAATCCATGTCTATCCACTGAGACCCGACAAATTTTGATTCCCCATCCAGAACATCTACTGCCTAAAGGGGAAAAGTCTCAGCAATCTTCCAGCACGCAAATAAATCCAGGCTCTCACACTACTCCTTCCCATCCCCCTGCCACATTAATTCAATACTTGCTTGTGCTTCAGCTTTCCCTTTGTTTAATTTTGATTTCCTACACTTTCCCAGCAAACCAGAGAGGTGCAGCTGTTCCAGCCTCTCTGGAGAAAAACCGAAGCAAGGCGGCAACCTACGTACACACACTACGGAGCAACACTCGCACCTGGCAGCGCAGGGTGGTCGTGGTTGTTTTTCTCTGACCACCAAGTTTCCCAACTGTTCCAATAGAGGTTTGCACTGGGCAAGACTCCCATCCACGACCCCAAGTCACATGACTCTGCCTCTCCCGATTCCATGTGAACATCCTGGCGGTGGACATTCCACAGAACACGGGTGGCATTGGATCCTCTCCGCCTCTGCGGTGCTCCTGACCCCACCACCTTTCACCTCCTGCCCACACACGGCTGCTGCCGCTCTGCCATGGAAGTCAAGCCTTCTTTGGCACGGGAACACCCAAAAAATTAAAATCTGGGCCTAGAGCTAGCAGGATAGCCCCCTTTTTTATTTTCTTTTTTTTTTTTCCCCAAGCATTTTCATCCGAATCCCAGCTCCGGGATTCCCCCGAAACCCCGGCTCGCCTCAACAGAAGTTCCACGGGGGTGTGTGTAGGATGGGGAAGTTCACTGCTCGAGCGTGACCCGGCGCACCCGAAACAACCCCAAACCCCAACCCACGATCCGGGGAGGGCGCGGGGCGCCCCGGGCGAGCGCTGGCACCGGGATAAAAACCGGGCGGGGACCATGTGGCGGCGCGGTTGGAAAACCGGGGTGGGCCGGGGCTGCTCCCGTGCACGGCGAGGTCAGGGGGCAGCGCTGACCCACACCCAGCCAACACAGACGAACAGAGACATATGTAGTTGTATAAATATATATACAGGAGAAAATGGCCCCCGTCCCGCCGTGGCTGAGCACCGGCAGCAACTCACCGCTCAGGTAGTTCGTCCACTTGTACAGCACCCCCTCCATGCCGGCCGGCCCCCGGCCCCATGCAGCGCGGCCGCCCCCCGGCGGGGTCACGCCGCCCGCCGCCGCCGCCGCCCGCGCCCCGCCGCGCCTTCCCCGCCACCGCCCAGCGCCATCGCGGGGGGGCGCCCGCCCCGCCCGGCCCGCGGCGCGCCCGCCCCCTGCCGACGCCACGCTCCCGGCGCAGCGCGCGCCACAGCCGCGCAGCCCCCGAGCGGCCCCGCGGCGCTACGTCGGCGCAAACCGCTCTGTGAATCGCGGCCCGCGTGACCGGCGGGAACGGGGAGCGCGGGGGGGACGGAACAGGCGCGGAACGCCCAGAGCAGGTGGCCGCCCGCAGCCAATCGGAACGCGCCCTCCGCGCGGGCGCCGCCCAATGAGCGGCCGGCAGCGGCCGGCTCTATTGTGCGCGCGCTTCGCAGGGCTCCCCCGCTCGCCGGCACTGGGACTGCCCGGACCGCACGGGCCCGCCCACCCCTCCGCTCAGCCGAGCCTGCCGATTGGGCGAGCTGGGGGACTGACAGAGGCGCGCCCCAATGGGCCGTGGGTTCTCCCTGGCTGGCCCTGATGCGAGCCAATCAGAGGGCGAGCCGGGGGAGCCGGACCGCCGGGAGTCAGGAGCGCTGAACGCCGCTGCCACGTCGGACCGACCGACCGACTTGGGCTGCGACTAAGGCTGCGGTTGCGGGATGGCGGCCCGGTGAGCCGAGAGGAGGTGGCGGCGATGGCGGCGGCGCTGCTGCGGTCTGCCCTGCTGTGCGCCGCGCTGGGCTGCGCGGGCGCGGCGCTGATCCCCCCCGCCGACGTGAAGGTGGAGGTGCTGCACAAGCCGTTCATCTGCCACAGGAAGACAAAGTGGGGGGACATGATGCTGGTTCACTACGAGGGCTACCTGGAGAGGGACGGCTCCATGTTTCACTCCACGTAAGTAAGCGGCGCGTCTCCGGGCGAGCTGGTGGGCGAGCTTGCGCGGGGAAATATGTATATATATATAAATATATATATATGTGTGTGTGTGTAAAATGGAATCATAGAATGGCTTGGGTTTGAAGGGACTATAAAGTTCCCTTGAGACTTCCACTCGACCAGGTTGCTTAGAGCCCCTTCCAGCCTGGCCTTGAACACTTCCAGGGATGGGCCATCCCATATCCCATCCCAAATCATTGAATCATAGAATGGCTTGGGTTGGAAAGGACCGTAAAGATGATCTAATTTCAATCCCTGTCATCGGTAGGGAGACCTTTTACTAGACCAGGTTGCTCAGAGCCCCATCCAAGCTGGCCTTGAACAGTTTCAGGGATGGAAAAGAGAAGGTTTTGGGGTGACCAAATTGCAGCCTTCCGGTACCTGAAGGGAGCCTACAAGAAAGATGGAGAGAGACTATTTAAAATACAAGGGCATGTAGTGACAGGAGAAGGGGAGATGGCTTCAAGCTGAAAGAGAGTAGGTTTAGGTTACATATTAGAAAGAAATTTTGTGAGGGTGGCGAGGCACTGGGACAGGTTGCCAAGAGAAGTTGTGAATGTCTCATCATTGGAACTGTTCAAGGCCAGGTTGTATGAGGCTCTGAGCAGCCTGGTCTAGTGGAAGGTGTCCCTGCTGCCCATGGCAAGGGAATTGGAACTAGATGATCTTTAGGACCCCTTCTGACCCAAGCCATTCTATGATTCTGTGATTTAAGTGCAAGTTTTGCTATGTGATCTCAGCGGTTTAATAGGTCTTGTTCTATGCACAAATTTTCTGGTTTCTAAAGCAAACTTCTAGGTAAAAAAAAAAAGTTATACGTGTCCTTCCACTACGGGCAGCACAATAACAGCTTTTCATTACCGAAAGGATATTTTTCACCTACTCCCGACCGGACAAGTCAATATAAGAGAGCCACAGTAATGCAAATAGGAGGAAGAGCCACAAATTCGAGGGAGTCTGCTAAGAGTCTGCAACGACTTGCTAATGCTGGATGTCCTGTAAAACATCAACGAAGTGTTAATCGTGGGAGACAGCAAAATGCTCACCTCTCTGCAGGCTGTGCCTGAAGGCTATGTTTATGGAACATATTAAAAAAAAAAAGACAGTTTTGCATGTTTATGCTCTTGTAGACAACTCAACTAAAATTCACTAATTTTCTCTTGTAGTTAACCTGCCTCTCTAAAAGAACTTCCAGTGACACTCTTAAGTTTTTGCTGCTGACTAATCTCTGTAAGTGCTCTGTTTTCTTGTTAAGCACCTTTCCTGCAAGTAGAGCTTTTAAATTCTGTGTCTGTCAGTAGAGTGAAAGTTGTCCGGGTTGTACCACCTGGTTAAATTGGGTCTCCCTAATTTAAACTCGACTATTTTGCATGCATTTGTTTCTGTTTTTTCTAGACTATCCGTTGTGTAGTTATTTTATCGTTTGAGTTTTTTCTAACAACTTTTTTCGAAGAGGTGAGGCTGGTACTTCTAAGCATGTTAAAAGGTATATTGTAATCATGACCAGGCTGGGTTTTGATTTGCGATGTACCGAAGAGTATGCATGGCCTTGATTGTGGATTTTTAAGTAGAAATGTCCTTCTAGTCTGATCAGTTTCCAAGTGGAAATAGGTGAGCAGGGAAGTGAAGATGGGGATCCAGATTGCTCAGTGTTGTCATAAACACACCGTGTAGATGTTATTTTATTTCTTTCTGCTTCTCAAGGAACCTTGCAATTATGCAAAGTATAATTTTAAAGACTTTGAAAGTCTAGGTGTTTGAGAAATGTCAGGGTGCTGAGCAGTGGTGTGGTTTTGATTATAAATCTATGTTATAAGCATATTCCATTTGCTCCATGTGCCTTTTATAGGACTAGATGTTTAAATAATAAGTGTTTTATTCCTTTCTTTTCTAGTCACAAGCATAACAATGGTCAACCTATGTGGTTTACACTTGGCATAAGGGAAGCTATCAAAGGCTGGGACAGAGGTTTGAAGGACATGTGTGTGGGAGAGAAGCGGAAGCTAACTATTCCACCAGCCCTTGCCTATGGAAAAGAAGGGAAAGGTAAAACACCTGAAGCCTTTCTCGTACTTCAGTTGCTTTTAATCTCTGTATTTTACTGTTGTTCTTGCCCTAAAAGGGTAGCAAGCTTTCTAGCTTTCCAGGAAGATTCTGTTAAGTAAGAAAAATTGATGGAGTCAGGTGCTCTTTCTCTCAAATTTATTTTCTGCAGAAATAAGCAGTAAGTCGTTATGTGGTGAATGCAGGGAAAAAATCCCCCACAAGAAATTGATGGTAGCTGCTGTGCTTTATGTTCCAAGTGTCTTTTCTGTTAGTGCTGTCCTCAATAGTGCTCTGCTTTTTCTTTTTTTTTCCTTTGCTTTGTTTTCACCTTTTTTTTTTCAATCAAGTGGAGGTGGTTTACTAGGTAACAGTTGGCTTTTTGGCTGTTGCATCTGTTTTTGTGGTAATACTTCTTGAATGTGCATGTGCAAGCCTCATTCTTGCTTGCAGATTTCTTTTAAAACCCTAAGAAACTCCCTGTACTGCTGCCCAACCAGATTTTAGCTGATACAGTGAAAAGTCACTATTTATTTATCCATATAGGGACATTAATTCTTTACCTCTTATAGCTGTTTTCAGTGTGGGCAGTGATCCCTGTTAACCATAATAAGATGTGCAGATGCATGAGCAATCACGTTGTCACCTACTGAGAATGTGCTGAATGGTGTGCAGACAGGTAAAAGCGTTTCTTGTAGGGTTTTCTCAACCTGGCTACTACTGATGGTGTTTGGGAGTTTTCCTTTCAGTGTTTCCAGATTTCTGTTTTAATGGGAGGGCAGATTTGGAAGGTACAGTTAAGCAAATGGCATCTTGAATGATGCGGGAAGGCTCTGCTTCTGCCTTACAAGGTCTGTTTTAGTTAACTTTTTTCGAGCAAATATTATGACTATTTTTGTCACGACAAGAGTTGCCACAAAGGACCTGTGGTAATGCAGGGTTTCAACGCAGGAAGGATAAATGTCTAGGATCATATAGTCCGTCCTGCTAATGTTGTCTCTGATTAATATGAGACTGTTATAGGTGTGAGGAGTGTTTGCATGTCTGTATCTGACAAGTAGGGCTGAACACAGGCTAAGTAGTCCTCCATTATTACATCATGCTAAGTAGTATTCCATACACACAGCATACTCCATACCCTGCTTTCTTGAAATACCCTTTAAAAAAATTTTTTCTAGAAGCCTTGGTTTGGGATTCAGGACATAGTATTAGAAGTAATAATCATGTTTCTAGTAGAGAACGGGAAAGTTGTGGAAACTTGTGGTGGTCAGCTCGTTGCCTGTATGCAGGGCACAGCTGTAAATTTTTCTACAAAAAGATATGAAATGCTGCAGTGCTCACATAGTCATCACAGGCCTAATTGCTCTGATTAATATGTAAAGCACTACAGTTGTTCTTCAAAGACTTTTGAACCCTACCTCTGTGTGTAATGCAAGAAGGTTAAACAAGTAAACGGTGCTAACTGCTGTAAGAAACTACTTACTTTAGGAAGACTTTGAAATATTTGAGCATAATTGTGTTTCTATTTTCAATTATGCCCTTGAAGACAATTATTTCATTTTCTTCATGCTTTACTCCAAATGCAAATAATTTCACTAGCCTCCCACCTTGCTTGCTCTCTGACTCATCATTCAAGTCAGATGCCTTTTTCTGTAACACTCAGAAAAATGACCTGTGTCCCAAAATCTGATCAGGGCACTGTACCCTCTATTTCCAGAAGTTTCTTCGCGTTTATTCATCTCAGAAATCTACAAGCTTGTTTGTTCCTGCAGCTCAGAGTATATTTAACAGCATAGTTCCAAAGTAGATGCTGTGGATTAGTTTTTTCCCTATATTCTCAAGGGATAGGAATATTTTTTGGGGTGCTGCCATCCAATATAGAAATATACTTGGTCCTATTCAATCCCTCTCTATATAAAATGGCAAAGTGATGTGCTGAAAGGTCTTTGACAATACTTTCAGCCATCAGCATGAGGGCGTATCACATCCCTGTAAAAGCCAATGCCTAATGAACTGAAATGCTTGAAGGGTGGTGGCAGCTGGGGGGGGTGTGTCTGTGGCACTATTAGGAAGTTACTGGTCTTCTCACCTGCATCAAAAATGACATTGTGACAACACATGCCTTTTGGTCAGGTTTATATACTTAGTTTCTGCTGTGTGTTTGGAAATAGCTCAGTGCCTTGTGCAGCAGTCCAGAGATAGCTGTGGGATACTGGCATCATTGCTGCCCTTCTGTCTTTCTCTGCAAATGAGTTTTTTTGCAGTGGCAGAATAGCAGATACAGGGTGTCAGTTGGCAGTGGAGAGGAATTTGGAGCCTGGCAGGGTAATGGTGTATTGGGAGGACTAAATTCTCTGTTCTTGCTGTCCTGTCCATTAGTCTTGGCTGTAGCCTCCTGGATTGTACAGTCTCCTTTACTGTTTTCCTCTTCAACTGGCTCTGGCCATGAAAAAATTATTCAAGAATGTTATTTAAGAAACTTGTGATGATGATTCCTGAATAAGAGCTCACATCAACACCTGGTGGTCTCCAGCAAAAGTAGTTGCATTTAAAGTTGTGTATATGCTGTAAGGGCTGCTCAGAGTCCAGGCCACTGTCTGAAATGGTTACGGTTATCACTGTTACAGATGCTTATCCGTGTTAGTTCAAATTGCAGGATGCTTTGAAATAAGTAGGATTACTGGAACATTGCTCTGATGCATGTGGCTTTTGTATGGCACTGAATGTGTAGTTGTTTTTAACTTTTCTCCATTTTGGGCAGGAAAAATTCCACCTGAGAGCACATTGATTTTCAACATTGACCTTCTAGAAATTAGAAATGGGCCACGGTCTCATGAGTCATTCCAAGAGATGGATCTTAATGATGACTGGAAACTGTCCAAGCAAGAGGTGAGTGGGTTACTCTTCTCTTGTGAGCAAATCTAACAGAATGGGACAGTGAAAAAGAAAAGATAGGCTTAACTTGATCCTGCTAGAGAAGTATCTATACACAAGTTAGATTTTAGCTACTGCTGTGCACAGAGCAACTCAACAAGCAGAATACATGCTACTTAGTACTTAAGGGAATTATTTATTGGGTGATGGACAGTTGAGGTAACTAATGAGTTGTTAGCTGATACCATTAATGCTGAACTGATACCATTAATGGTAAGACACTCACAAGGCCCCTGGTGGCCCGGTGGTCATTAGTCATGTGGGGAAGGGTGAGCCTCTGTTCTTCTCTGGAGATGACTTTCTTTGTTTTTTGCCCTACAATTCTCAGCTTTGTTTTTTGCCTTTCATGCTTTTGGCATTTTCATGTTGGTGCCTTTCTTACTAAATGTTATTCCTTGCTCAACAATTAGCTAGCTCCTGTCTGTGGTTTGCCTTTCTTGATTGGCTTCAGCTCACATACTTACTTGTACCTTAGCAATAGACTTTTTCAGTAAAACTAAGCCAGGAGTGCACATCTGTGCTGCACTACTCTGAGCCTTGCATCCTAGTGAAAATTCTGGACTCCAAAGGGCTTCCAAAGGAGCCTTGGTAAGCTGGAGCATAGGCACATGACCCATGCGTGCTTATGGGAGACTTGGGTGAAAGAAAGCATCTTCAGAATAAAGCCAGACTTCAGGGCTTTTTGGAGTTAATTGCTGATTTATTAATAAACTGGAATTAGAAGTTCTGCTGCTGTAGGGCAGTCCTGTTTCACTGCATTCATTCTGTGAAGGACGTGTAGTCAGCATTATTCACCTTCTGTTTGCCTCTCATTTTCAGTCTTCTGCTTTCCCAATGTGCAAAATTGATCCATGAGAACCTAGTATAAACAACTGAGTTCTTTTTGATTTGAGCCTGGTACAGTTTACTAGACCCAGTAGGCTAATCATTTGTACTATGCATCAGACAGTGTCAGGGTGCCTAATAGCTGTGTGTTGGAAATGTAAGCAATAACCCTAACAAACACCACAGTGTGAAGTTAATAAAACAGCCCTGAAACATGGCCCATTTATCTGGCTGCTAACAGTCCACTGTTACAATTCTTATACAAGTGGTATCTGTTTCACAGGTGGGTATGTTGGTATTGTTATTCTTATAGAAGGCTCTGCAATTCAGAACAGTTGGAATCTCAACAGTTAAACTGTAGAAACTGAGTAAAAATAATCTGATTTTGTTTAAAACACTGCTTACCATTAGTAATTAGCTTAGTGTAAGTAACTGTTCCAGAAGTCTGCTTAAAAGCTACCTTGACTCTTTGTCATTCGAAATTTTGAGATGTCTACAAATCATTTAACGTAGTTCCCATTAGAGCAGCAAACACTGAGGTTGTGACAGATTTCTTTATATATTTGGGGCAGCTGTTTACATCTTCTGGTTTGTCAAAGTGCTAGGATGTAGAAAAGTTGTTTGGGTCTCTGACCAATTGGCAGCTAATAACTTCTGCCTAGCTATTTATAATTTACTGTATAGACATCAGATGACAAGCTGTCCTGGCTCATTTTTCAGTCAGGTACCATAAAGCTATGGCAGCAGATTTGCTAGTTTTACTGTCACTTCTATTACTAAAGACTCTCATCACTGATAGGAGCTGCAGAATCAGTCAGACAAGTATTATTCTGGCAGTGGCACAGGAGAGAAGGTATCTATTATCTAATACTACCATCCTGAACATGGTGGCCCTCTCTTACACTACAGTCATCAATTCTTGCATAAGCCTAAAAGTGTTATCTCTCACCTTTTGTCTGATAGGTGAAAATTTACTTGAAGAAAGAATTTGAAAAGCATGGAGCAGTGGTAAATGACACACAGCATGATGCTTTGGTTGAAGACATCTTTGATAAAGAAGATGAAGACAGTGATGGGTTTATATCTGCAAGGGAATTTACATACAAGCATGATGAGCTGTAGAAAAGGGTGGCATAATTTTTTTGGACACAAATAGCGGTGACTTAGACTGTCTGGTTCTCCTGTCATCTTAATTCTGTGTTTTGGAGTTGATGATTGCTGTTGGCAAAGAAACACTTTGTTTATATAAAAGAGAATTTCTGTTCATTATGTATGAATGTTTTAAACTGTTTTAAACTATTTTAAAGTATGAAAATGTACCTCCTTTTATACAGCAAAGACTTGCACATCAGTATTTTTTAAATTTTGTATTAACTTATTTTTCAGAACTGAAACAAACTTTCTAGTTATCAAACATTGTGAAAATCAAAATCCAGTTCAATGACTTTCTGTGATTTGTTTGTGTGCCAGGATCACTTTCAGCAATTTCTTTATGTATAACTTCTAGTCTGTGTCTTAAATACTTGACCTTCCTTCTTGTGTGTCACTGCTTAAAAAGCAGAGCTGACCTCGGGGGTTTTTCCTGCAGATTTTAAAAGGATGTACTGGAAGGCATCAGCATCTCTTTATACAGCTGAGGAAATGGTACAAAGCTGAATGAGAAGAATGATTATCATGTGCTGATTTTGCCCTTCTGAAGGTAGAGTGTTACCACCCATGCCAACAATTGTCTGCGTTTTTTGTTAAATTATGTGAACAAGGCAAGAGTTAAATGTCAGACTTCTACTGCCAGCAACATTCTAAGAAATGTCTGTAATTTGGAAAACAGCAAATTATGCTGCAGTGCAGAGGTAGGTGGTGTCCTTTAAATGTACACACATTTGTTTTGAAACTCAGAGTTTGCATTCATTGAAAAAGATCACACCTTTCTCCTCACAGTTGGAGGGAGATCTTAAAAGAGGAAAAGTGTATTGACAGGAGGATCAGTATGGCCTGAAGAACAATTTCCATGGGCTTGCCTGCTTTGCAGCTGCATGAGTTGCAGAACTTGTTTCATTGCCCCTTTGCAGTATTTTTCACAAGTAGCACACAAGTGATGTGAATTTTAAATAATAAAGTGAATTTTTAGAAAAACGGGGACATGAAGTAAATGTTGTGGTGCTGTGTCTTTACAGAGATGGTGATCATGAGGATTCAAACACAAAATGGAATTGTTTGAACTCGTTTTTGAGAGGAAGAAATGTTTTGCAATCATCCATGATTTCTTAAATGAGAGGGGAAGGCATCTCAGGGAAAGAATAGCCTGTATTCTGACACCACTAACCTATGGGTCTATGAACACAGCATTGTACTTGGAAAATGTTGCCCAGAGCTATGTAAGGACATGAAGCAAATCGAGCTATATGATCCTGAGATTGCTGCATTGCACTAATCCTTGACTACTGCCAAGTGAGACTCTGCATTCAAGGTTCTCAATGCTGTAGGTGAGTTAGATGTTTCCCTGCCACCTAGTGTTGCAACTAAGGATTAGAAGACTGCTTCATTAAACAGAGTTCAATTTATGGACATTACAGATTGCTGTCAATAGTGGCTTGTTTTCTGGGGGAAAAAAGTGTCACTGAAGGTATGCAGTGGTGGGCTGTTTTGTTTTGTTTTTCTTCCAGCATCTGACATTTTGTGGCTGTTGTTCTAAATGACAAGGAATTGTAGCAATGTATTTTGTTTTCAGTAATCTTTAGGTATTTTTCCTCAATGATACCGTCTAGTTTTCTCACGCCCTTTTATACTTTTGCTTCTGTGGCAGTGAGTTTCACAGTAGAATAGTGTAGGAAAATATTTCCCTTCGGTTTTAGGCTCATTGCCTACCCTGATTCTTTTATTGTGAGGAAATAATGAATAATCATTACCTATTTAGCTCTTCTTACCATGCATGGTTTTGCATAATGATTTTTTTTTTCTCATCAGTTAGGAAAATCAAGCTTACCTGACTTCAGCTTGCCCAAGGTTGCTTATGTGTTCTGTGCTGAGTGTCTTGATTTCCCCTGCAGTCAGGAGAGTATTAGGCACCTGGGGGCAGCTCATGTCATGTGTGTTATATTGGGATAGATGCCTTAGCAAGTAGAGTTTCCAGTCTTTCTCTGTTGACTATGTGGGAACCTAGGCCAAGGAGGGCTAATAGGATATGAAGTTGATCCTTAAGGCAGTTTTGCCTAGAATGTGGGAACTGACAGGTACCCAAACAACCAAAGGGGAAATACTCTGTGTGTGTCCTTCCAGGAATAGCAAAACTGATACTTACTTTGGGTCTGTCAGTGTTTTACATTGTCATTTGCAGTGTTTAGCATGTTCTTAGAACATACAGCTGGGGAGTGAAAGCATAAAAGCATGAAATAAAACTTGGCACATGTTACTGACCAAATATATAAAAAGTTAAGCTTAACTAACTGGATGCCAGTATGTGACTTCAGTAAGGGCCAATTGTTTCTTTTGTATTAAATAGGAGTATGGAGTAAGCGAACGTTGTGAAAGGTACATTCTCCTTGGATTTTTAAAGCATTTCATAAAAATAACTGTCATTGAAGATACAGTTATTTGTTAATGCCAGCTGCGTATTGAAGCTGCAGGACCAAGATGCTTTATTTGGTGTTTTGTGTAGGTTTATGCCAAATGAGAGGATGGGTTTTGTTTTTAGTCATTGTTTTGAGAGCTGTGTTAAACTAACAAAATTGAACTGAAAATGTTTTTTCAAGACTGCAGAATCAGCAGCAGATTTGAGAAGTCATTTCAACTTTATTACCATTTGCTATCGTTCAAGTCCTCCTGTGAAGATGAAGGGATTTCCTAGGTAGAAATAGCACTCCCTGTCTTACCCTCAGTTGCATCTGCTTGTTAATCCGCAGGGCAAACTGCTCTAGTGCCAGCAGGAGTCAGACAACAACCTGCAGGAGACCAGAGGCAGACAGCTGCCTGTCCCTCGAGGAGGGGAGGAATATTGGAGCTTCAGAGGCACTCAGCAACATTTTGACTAGCTTGTGTGTGAAGTGCAAGTGTTTCCCCCGAAGAAACAAACCCTCACTGCATGTCTGTAAAACATAGCATTGAAAAAGTGGAGTTCAAAACAGAGCACTTTCCTCCTGCA